TGGGTCCCCGCCTCGGGCAGCTCAGGGCTGGGCACACTGGACAGATGCCTCAGCTGGTTGGCAAGTTCAGACCAGAGACCACACGCTGGCAGCTCAGCCCACAGACAGGCTTCCTCTGAATCAGTTTCAACCACAAAAACAGCCAGAACTCCGGTTTAAAAGGGAAAAGCGGCAGGTCTGGCAACACCAGGTGGGCATTCCCCAGTGGAACCGAGGAGTGGCCGCATTTTCTCCCCAGCTCCCAGCCCACCTCTCCCAGCCGACTTGATTCATTCCCCAGTGCTGTCTGGCCCGCCGTGGGCATCTGAGTTTGAGACCCCTGGTCTGGGCAAATCGCAGTAATGAAAGCGGGGGCTTACGAATGCCAGGCCCTGGGCTAAAGGCTTTGGAAGTCCTAACTCATTGAACCTCACCTCACAACAACCCTTTGAGGGAGGTGCTCTCCTTGTTTATATTTGGCAGATGGGGAAACTGAGGCACAGAGAAGTAAGGTCATTCGTCCAAAGTCACAGAGCCAGGGAGGGCAAGAGCCAGGATTTGAGCCCGGGCGGTGTGGCTCATCACCAGCCTGACTTGTCGGGCACCCAGGTGCCCGAGATGCTCCTCGGCACCCCCGGACCTCGGAAGGAGCCAGGCCTTGGCCCCCCACCGCACCCCCCGTGCTCCCAGCAGCCTCCTCACCTTTGATCTGCTCGCTGTTCCCCTGAGGGGGTCCCAAGTCCAAGAACAGCCGTGGCATCTCGGGGCCCTTCCTCTCGGGCTTGGGGGGGTCCGCGTCGCCGCTGGGGGCCGTGTCTCCGCCGGCCCTGCTGTCGGGGGCCCCGGGCTCTCCCGCGGGGGCCGCCTCCGGCCTGGCTCTCTGGGGCGCCGGCTCCGGCCTCCTCGGCTGGGCTTCCACCGACGGCGGCGGCGGCGGCGGCTGGGGCCTCGTGCTGTCTGCCCATCCGGCCTTTGCGTCCACGCCGCTTCCGAGGCCGCCGCCGGGGGCCATCCCCGTGCCCGCTGGGGCTCGGCCCCCACTCCCGAGGTCCAGCCTCCCAGCCCCGGGGGCTCTCGGTGCCCCCCCAGTCTCGGGGGCTCTCCTCTCGGTCCCGGGTTCCAGCACCCCGCTCCTGGGGGCTGGGCCAGTGGGGCCAGGGGCTGTCTCCCCGCCGCTCCGGGGCCAGGCCGCGGCGCCGGGCGCGGGGGCTCTCTCCTGCGAGGTCTCTGGGGCCGGTCCCCCGATCGTGGGGGCTGGACCCCCACTCTCGGGCATCTTCTCCCAGGGCCCTGGGGCTTTCCGAGGCCCAGTCTCTGGCAGCCTCTCCATGTTCCTGGGGAGTTTCAGGCCCCCATTCTCTGACACCTTCTCCTCGATCTTTGGGGGTGTCAGCCCCCCATTCGCCAGCACTTTCTCTTCTCTCTCGGGGGACCTCAGCTCCCCATTCGCCAGCACTTTCTCCTCCCTCCTTGGGGGTGTCAGCTCCCCATTCGCCAGCACTTTCTCTTCTCTCTCTGGGGACCCCGGGCCCCCATTCTCCGCCACCGTCTCCTCGAGGCCCTGGGCTCTCTGTCCCCCGTTCTCCAACGCTGTCACCCCGTTCGCAGGGACGCTCAGGTCCTCGTTCGGCCTTGGGGCTTTCTTCCCGCTGCCCAGGACTGCAGGGTCCCTGCTCAGGCCCGGGGCTTTCTCTCTGTTCCCGGGGCCTCTCCCTGCCTTCCTGGGCCCCGTCTCGCGGGGGTGTCCCCCCTTCTCGCCCAGGAGGTTCCTTGTCACGTCCTCCCGCAGGGACATCAGCAGCTGCTCGGTGCTCACTTGAACTACGAAGGTCGGCTTCTCTCGGGTCCCCGGGGGACCCGGGTCTGGGGGTGGCCGGGGCGCTCCCGGGTCGGGGGGCTCGGGGGGAGCCCGCGGTCGAGGGACCCCTTCCTCCTCGGCCGCCCCCCCTCCTGGGAAGGCTCCCTCGGGGGAAAAAGGGGTCTCGGTCTCGTAGCCGCTGTCCCCCGGCTTGGGGCCCGGCGACGACAGGCCTGAGCCGGGACTGGCCACGGCCGAGGGGGGGTCGGGGGACACGGCCGGGTCCGAGGGGGCCCGGGGAGGTGGCGGCGGGGGGGGGGGGGAGCGGGGGGGCCCCCGCCCGGGGTACTGGGGCGCCGCCGCCCCCATGAGGGGGTCCAGAAACTCGGGGGGGGCCGAGGTGGGGGGGGCCAGGGGCAGGTCGGCCAGGGAGCCCCGCTCTGCCCGCAGGGAGGAGTCGTCCTCGGGGGCATGAGGGCAGCCGAGAGCAGGGTGGCCCCCCCAGCCGGCGACGGCGTCCCCCCGCTCGAGGGGCAGGCAGGAGCAGGCCCCCTCGCGGCTGCACAGAGGACAGGGCAGGGGCCCCCGGCGGCTGGGGCCACCCCCAAGGCTGCTGCTGGTCTCCCCGGGGGAGCTGCCCTCCTCCTCCTCCTCTTCCTCTTCGGCCCAGGGGGCGGCCCCCCGCTCCCCCAGCACCTCGGCAGGGTCTCCCGCCAGGGTCTCCCCGGCGCCCCGGCCCTCGGGGTCCCAGCCACTCAGGAGGAAGCTGCCTGACGCTGAGGACTGGGCGGGGAAGGGCCGGGGCGCAGGGAAGAGGGGGGAGGCCCAGGTCTCGGACACCAGCTGGGGGACCTCGGAGGGGGCCTGGGGGGCCTGGGGGGCAGGCACTCCTGGGTCCAGGGGGTCCCAGTCGTTGGGGAAGAGGGGCTCGGGTGGGGAGCCGTGCTCCTCGAGGCGGATGTAGTACTCGCTGCTCACCGAGGGGCTGCGGGCGCTGATGACGGGCAGCACGCTCGGCGTGGACAGCGCCTCGTAGAAGGGGTTGGAGGGGTTGGCATGGGGGGCCGGGGGTGCGGACGCCGGCTGCCAGGGGGGCGCCCCCCCGCCCCGGCCGGCCCCCCGCCGCGCCTTCTCCCACAGGCACTCAAGGTTGAGGCCACGGCTGCTCTCGGTGACCGTGAGCACGTCGTCGGGGTCGGCCCCGGGGAAGCCATCCAGGAGGGGGAAGGGCGAGGAGAGGGTCCCCGGGCGGGGCGCGCTGTGCTGCGGGGGCCAGGGCCAGGGGAAGGGGCCGTCCCGGGGTGGGGGCGGCGGAGGCGGGGGCCGCGGGGGCCGCTCGGAGAGCAGGTAGGTGAGCTGCAGCTGGAGGTCAGAGGCCGAGGGGCGCTGCGCAGGCGGCCGCCAGCAGGACTGCAGGATATCGTACCTGGGGAGAGGCAGCGGCAAGAAAGAGGAGGACAGAGTCCCGGGGGGTGTCACTGGGGGCAGGCAGAGACCAAGAGAGAGGGGGACAGGGACCCAGAGAGAGGGGGACAGAGACCCAGGGAGAGGGGAACAGAGATCCAGAGAGAGGGGGACAGGGACCCAGAGAGAGGGGGACAGGGACCCAGACAGAGGGGGACAGGGACCCAGAGAGAAGGGGACAGGGACCCAGACAGAGGGGGACAGAGACCCAGAGAGAAGGGGACAGAGACCCAGAGAGAGGGGGACAGGGACCCAGAGAGAGGGGGACAGGGACCCAGAGAGAAGGGGACAGGGACCCAGACAGAGGGGGACAGAGACCCAGAGAGAAGGGGACAGGGACCCAGAGAGAGGGACAGGGACCCAGAGAGAAGGGGACAGGGACCCAGACAGAGGGGGACAGAGACCCAGAGAGAAGGGGACAGGGACCCAGAGAGAGGGGGACAGGGACCCAGAGAGAGGGGGAAAGAGACCCAGGGAGAGGGGGACAGGGACCTAGGGGACAAGGGAGACAAGCAAGCAGCAAGGGGTCTTCCAGGGTTGAATAAAGCAGGGCTCAAACACCAGGTCTGCTCCTCCATGCCTCAGTTTCCCCCCTCCAAGTACCAGATGCTGGCCGAGGGATGAGGACGTGCCTGCTGGCTCTAGGGATGGTAGCGAGTGGGGAGTGAGATTGCGGCTGGGTGAAAAAGGAGGGGGAGTCCGGGGCCACGCTGGGGGGGTGGTCAGGGGTCCGAGCAGGCCCCCCCGCCCTCACCAGTAGTCCGCGTAGGGCAGCTTGAGCCTCGGCCGGGCCAGCTTGACGTGCTGCTGGCGGACGACAAAGGCGAGGACCTCCTCGTCTGACAGGTGGCGGTAGGGCTGCGCCCCGAACTCAAAGAGCTCCCACAGGGTCACCCCCAGGGACCTGCGGGGAGCAGAGGGCAGAGGGAGGTCAGAGCCCCGCCCCGCCCCGCCCGGGGGCCGCCCCTCCGGGCCTCAGTTTCCCCACCCGCGGAGCCCCCGGCCCTCCCCGTGCCGGCGCCGCCGCCCCTGCGCCCGGCCGGCCCTCACCAGATGTTGCTCTCGCGGCTCTGGTCCACCACGAGGAAGCTCCCGTGCACCTCCCCGAGGAGCTCGGGCGCCGCCCAGCGCAGCGGGATCCACAGGCGCTCGGGGGTCAGGTAGTAGTCCTCCTGGGGGCGGGCCGGGCGGGGTCAGGCGGGTCGGGGCACCCCCCGCCCCCGCCCGGATGGAGGGCAGCCCGTACCTTGTAGTTGCTGTGGGCCAGCCCGTAGTCTCCGATGCGCACGGTGAGGTCGGAGGTCAGCAGGCAGTTGCGCAGGGCCAGGTCACTGGGGGCGAGCGGGGAGCGACGTGAGAAGGGGCGGCCTGCGCCCCATGCCTTGCCTCGCCTCGCCTCGCCTCCGCCCGCCGTCCAGAATCCTCCCCTTCCCTCTCCTTTCCTCACTCCGCCTCCTCCTCCCGTTTCCTCCGCCTCGCAGGCCACCTCCCTCCTGGCTCCTCCCCCTCCTGGCCCCTCCCTCTCCTCTGTGACCCCGCCTTCTCTCCTGACTCCTCCCTCTCTTCTGTGGCCCCGCCTCCTTTCCGGACTCCTCCCTCTCCTGGCCCCTCCCTCTCCTCTGTGACCCCGCCTCCTTTCCTGACTCCTCCCTCTCTTGGCTCCTCCCCTCCTCCCTCTCCCCTCCTGACTCCTCCCCTCTTCTGACTCCTCCCTCTCCTCACCCCTCCTCTTCTCCTGACTCCTCCCTCTCCTCTGTGACCCTTCCTCCCCTCCTGGAACCCCACCCCTGTGGCCTTGCCTCCTTCCCCTAAGCAGTGCCCCCTACACACACTCCTCCCCATGAGTGCTCCCCGTGGCTCCTCAGCCGCCACCTGTGCACGTAGTTGTGGGAGTGGAGGTGCGCCAGCCCGCGGGCGATCTCCAGGCCCATCCTCTGCAGTGTCCGCAGGTCTCGAGGGGGCAGCTCAGGGGACAGGCCCTCGGGGGGCCGCTGGGCCCGGAGGTAACGCTTCAGGTCCCCCTGGAAGGGAGGGCAGGGTGGGGTCAGCACCACCACCCCGTCCCCCGCACCCACACATCCAGCCACTCCAAGGCGAGGATGGGGGCGGCCTCTGCTCTCAGTGGGCAGCCCCTCTGAGCCTCAGTTTCCCCTGCTGCTTGGAGCAGAATAATAACAGAAGCCGCCTCTCCTGCTAGTTGGGTGCGCGCCACCTGCAGAGTGAGTGCTCCTGTACAGCAAACGGTGTTTCCGCATGTCACACAGGTGTTGCCATGATGACGTCATTGCCAAAGATTTCTAGGACCCTAGGCTTCCCCCAGCCCACCCTGTCCAGCATCCCCTCCCCCCAGCCCCTCACCAGTTGACAGAACTCCATGATGAGCAGAAAGGGCAGTGTCTCCACACAGACGCCCAGGCACTGGAGGACATTGGGGTGCTGCAGGCTCCTGGGGGGGAGGTAGCTGGTCAGGAGACAGCCCTCGTCCCACCCCAGCCCCTGTCCCACCCCCACCTCCCAGCAAGACAAAACTGTTGCTTCAACCGCCTTGGTCTCAGTTTCCCTTTCTCAGGGTCTCCCCCGGTACACACACACTCCTCCCCCGGCCCCCATCTCAGGACTGCCCCACTGTCCCCCAGTTCCGGGGCCAGGTCCCCAGGCGCCTCTTTGCCCCTCATTCCTCCTCACCCCGCCCCCAGGCTTCCTTCCTGCCCCCTGATGCTCCCCCATCCCCTCTCCTCCCCAGCTTGAGCCTCCTCCTTGCCTCCTGGCCTCTCCTCCCTGCCTCCTCCCAGCCTCCGGGCTCTCCCTTTCAGTCTGTCCCTGACCTGCCACTCACGTGGCTCCCCAGCACCCCAGGACAAAGCCTGGCTCACTCCTCAGTCCTTCCTGCCCCTCTGGTGCCCACTGCCTTCCACAGGGTCCCCCTCTCACCCCCGTCTGCATCTCCCCAGACATGCAGGTGCCTGCTCAGGCTCCGGGCCTCTGCCCGTACAGTTCTCTCTGCAGACCACACCGTCCCTTCACCCAGTGCTCCTTACCCCTCAGGCCTCGGCCTCGACATCATTTCCCCAAGAACCATCACTGCCCACCAACCCTGGGGCGCATACCCCTCCTTCAGCCTCACACTGTGGGTAAGAGAGGTCGGGGGTTTGAATCCTGTCTCCGCCTTTCCCAGGCATGGGACCTCACAGAAGTCACTTCACCTCGCCCCACCTCAGTTTCCCTCATCTCTAAAATGGGGACAGTAACAGTTACTCCCTCATGCAGTCGTGGAATTTAATGAGATTGGAGAGGAGCTGGCACCCAGGAAAAGATCCTCTCGATTCTATTTTCACCTGTGGTTTGATTCTCATCTCGCCCTGCATTTTCACTGCGTTTTCCCGCCTCCTTGCCTTTGCAAGTGCTGTCGCCTCTGCCTGGAACACGCTTCCCACAATGCTTTGCATGACGCACCCTCCTCCCCGCCCCCCATCCCATCGGAAGCTCCCGTGTCTCTGCCGCGTCCTGCCTTACTTCCTCACGGCGCTGAGGCTCTGATATTTTCGTTTTGAGACTTCTTTCTTCATTTATTTATTTATTGTGCATCTCCTCCACTAGGCGGTGAGCTCTATCTACCAGGACAAGGATATGGGGCTTTTTGTTCATGCGGCCATGTCCCCAGTGCCTAGACTAGTAGGTGCACCATAAAAATGTGCAGAATGAGGGGCCGGCCTGGTGGCATACTGGTTAAGTTGGCACTCTCTGTCTCAGCGGCCCTGGGTTCACGGGCTCAGATCCTGGGTGTGGACCTACACACCGATCATCAAGCCACACTGTGGCGGCGTCCCACATACAAAATAGAGGAAGATGGGCACAGATGTGAGCTCAGGGCCAGTCTTCCTCAACAACAACAACAACAAATTGTGCGGGATGAAGGATTTTACCCTGATACATGGCCTGGAGTCTGTGGGAAGATTCAAACATTCCGGGCTTGCAGCCCAGAGCCTGGCTCAGGGTAGGGGTGAAGCAAGTTATTTTCCCACTGGGGTCTGGTGGGAGGTAGGCGCCACTAATGGGCCGGGGGCACAGTGCCCAGCATGTGCTAGGGCTGGAACTCCCAAGGTGGGAGGTTTGGGATGGAAGATACGGAAGGAAGCTTGGTTCACTGCACATCCACCAATCTGAGCCAGGGCCGGCCACTTCTGTTATCAAACTCTCCCAACAACCCTGCTAGGCAGGATGATGTTTCCCAGTCGATCCAGAGGAAACGGAGGCTCAGAGAAGTGAAGTGACTTGCCCCGGGTCACACAGCTGGGAACAGCAGCAGAGTTGGCATCTGATCTCACGTCTCTGGCTCGCTCAGCAAACATCTACCGAGGGCCGATGGCACTTGTGCTCGGGCCACAAGACAGACCCGGAGCTGCCACCATAGTGCTGCCGTCTCCAACAGACCTTTCTGTGAAGGTGGCAGTGTTCTAGACCCGAGCTGTCTAACACAGGAGCCACTGGCCCTATGCGGCTACTGAGCCGTTGAAATGTGGCGAGTGTAGCTCAGGAACTGAATCTTTAATTTGATTTCATTTTATTTCACATAAATTGAAACAGCCCTAAGTGGCTAGCGGTTGCCAGCACGGGTCCAGAGAGAGAGAGGCAAATAAGCAAGTAAACAGACAACATGATGACAAGCGGGGAGACGTGTTATGACGAAAATACACGAGCTGATGTGCTGAGCGTCCCAGGGCCTCCTTCGGTGGGGGCGTGTCAGGGGAAACCTTTCTGAGCTGAGACCCGAGGAGGGGAAGGGAGCCCACCATCCAAAGCTGGGGGTGGGTGAGCCAGGAGTGGTATTCCAGACAGAGCGAACAGCAAGGACAAAGGCCCTGAGGCAGGGAAGAGGCTGATATGTGGAAGGGTTGGTGAGGGGTGACTGGGGCCAGGGGGCCAGTGGCAGGAAGGGAACAGGGTCAGGCGGTGCAGGGCCTGTGGGCCGTAGGAGGGAGTAGGACTTTGTCCTATGGGCAATGGGGAGCCATCGGAGGTTTTAGAGCAAGAGAGTGATAAGGCCCAATGTCTGTGTCTCTGGGATAAAGCCCACTTTACAACCTGATAAGGAGTCTCTGTATACACACCCTTTCTGTGACAGGGCACGGACTCTCTCACAAGGCACTTAGCCAGCGAATGTTGACCTAGTCCTTGTCTAGAAGCCCTGAGAGGGGAGGGGAGACTGCGCAGGGGAGGGATAGAGTCCTGCCTTCCCTGACCTCCCAGTCCAGTGGGGACAGAGCCAAGGGCACACAGCTCCTCAATGGCCATTTGGAGCGCCTGCTCAGAACCCTGGTCTGTGATTCTGATGTGACCCTCCCTCACCCATGAGCAGGCCCTGAGGAAGGGGACCACCAAGATGTACCCAGTGCTTAACACAGGGTGACCTCACATCCTCCCAGCTGCCCTCCACATGAGGGCTTCCTGGCCTCACGTTCCAGATGAAGATACTGAGGGTCAGAATGGAGAGCACATGGCTCAGCTTTTGTGCTCTCCCCTTGCCTTCATCATACTGTCTCTTGCTTCTGTCCCAAGGAAGAACCCGAGGCTCAGAGAGGGAAATTCTCTTGACTGAGTGGCACAGCCAGGAAGAGGTGGATCCGGATTCGAACCCAGGTTTGACCCCACGCTATACTTCTCGCATTCGTTACCTCCCTGAGGCGCAAACTCGGATATTTGGGCCTCGAGGGCCCACGTCCACCGAGAAGTCCCGGTACCTGTACGGCTGTGCTTCCGAGATGAACTTGCGCTGCTCGAGGGGCCCCGCGCTGGCTCGGAGCTCCTTCACCACCACCTGGGCTGGGGTGTAGTCGGAGAAAATCTCTCCCAGGATCACCTGGTCAAGGGGGGCCGGGGAGTCAGCGCGTGCGGTTTCCCCAGGCCTGTCCCCTGGCACCACATCCGCCCCACCGCAGGACTCCCAACCTCCCCCCCTTCACAGCATCTCCCTTCCTAGCCCACCTCCCTCATCCCCCAGCAGATGCGAGGTGAGAGACTCACAGGCCCAGAGTCCGATGGACGCAGGGACGGTTGGAAGGATGGACAGACTGACGTGTGGAGAGCCGGGTGGCGACGGAGTGGTCAATGGAGTGAGGAGGGAGGCGCTGACCGACAGATGTGGGGGGGGTGGGGGGGTGGGAGTGGGTGAGAGGTGGACAGGAAGGGTGGGCTGAGGGGGCCGGGGGACAGATGAGACGTGGTGGGAGCAGGGGGATGGAGACAGGACAGGAGCACAGCCCCGGAATGTATGGACGCCCGTGCCTCCCACCCCCCGCCCCACTCACCTTCCCAAACCAGCCACTTCCAATCTCTTGTAGGTAGCTGAGGTGCTGGCGGCTAAGGCCCAGGGGGGTGGTCATGTCTGGGGGGGAAAGAGGGAGGCCCCTGAGCCTCTCTCCCCTCCCAGTGCCCCCAGCACCCGTCAACTCAGTGGGGACTGAGGGGAAAGCAGACACCAATCTCTTCTCCTTGGCTGCCCCCAACATTCCCTGATGGGATGGCAGCCTCCTCATTGGCCGCCCACAAGCTTCCAGCGTCCAATCTGTCCTGCCCTTTGCTGTCCCAAGATCCTGTGACGTGACCTCAGCCTGCCACTGGCTGTCTCTGAGATTGAGATCCAGGATGACCTCACCATGGACTGCCCCACAAGAACTCCCAGAGCTGGTTTCAGATTAAGGGATCGCTTCCACCAAGATGATCTCTGACTCCCTATGGGCTGCTTCCAAGATTCTGCGGCTCCCATCTCTGCCTTTCCCCTCGGCCGCCCGGGGCCTCAGCTCCCTGGCCCCTGAGGGGAGACTCTCGGGGCCTTCCATCCCATCCCTGGGGCCGTGGGGTCCTCGTCAAGGTGCCGGGCAGTACCTGAGTGTGAAGGCTGCGGGGCAGGCATCGGCAGGGAGACCTCGGCCAGCGGGAGAATGTAGACATCAGGCAGCGACTGTGAGGAGGAGGTCTCCTCCGCTGGCGGAGTGTACTCCCCGGAGCAATCCTCCCCTTCAGGGTTCTCAAACTCCTGGGGCCGGGAGGGGTGAGAGGTGGAAGAACATAGGGCTGAGACATGCCATCGTCCTTTTTGTCATAACTGTCCCCCAATCCCAGCCCAATTTCCATCCCAAGACTCCGGGTCTTGCCATAACTTCAGGCCCAAAGGCGCTCTGGGGCTTACTGCCCCCTCCCCCACCAACCACCTGGGTCGGGGAAAATGCCTTGCTGGAATCTTCCTCCCCACCTGGAATCCCCTCATGCGCCTCACCTTGAAGCCAACATCACCCCGTTTGCAGCACAGACAGGTGAGGAGGAGGAAGATGAAGGCCAGCAGGCCCGAGCAGGAAATGAGGACCACGGCGTAGGGAGGAGCCAGAGGGGCCCGGCCCGGGGCGAATCCATCTGTGGGCACAGGGCTGGGCTGGGGTCCTGGCCTCAAGCCCCAGGCTCCCAGAGTCAAGCCCCTCCCATCCTGGCCAGTTTTGACTACAACTCCCATGATGCTCTGCAACCAGGGGCCCCTTGGCAGAGGAGCCAGATGGCCCAGGGCATTGTGGGAGTTGCAGTTTGGGGCCTTCTCAGGTGGCTAGGTTGGGGGTGGGGTCCCTCCTCTCGCTCCAAGCTGGGACCACCCCCCACCTCCATCCCGTCACCTCACCCCAGGCTCGGAGGAATTCCAGTGAGGACTGAGGGGAGGAGGAGTCATAGTGGAGGCTGGAGCTCTCAGAATTTAAAATACGCTCCCACGGACAGCCTCAGTACCCCCTATTTGGGGAAGAGGTTGACCCTCCAACTGCAGGCTGGGAGAAGATTCTTGCCCCGTGCGGGAGTCCCCTAGCTAGGGGGCTTGAGACCTGTCTCTTTTAGGGACGTTTGGAGCACACATATGTCCTCTGTCCCCAGTGCAAGCCCCCGAGAAGGCAACTCCGCAAGCCCTGGTCTCCCCCAAAGCGAGAGACAGCCTCCTGTGCTGTGACCCCCTTGGAAACGCTATTCCTCCCGTCTGCCCCCAATCCTCCCAGAGGCCCTGTCCTTCCCTGGCTCCCTGCACACACCTGCACGCACACATGCGTGTGCACACACACACACACACATGTTGCCCAAACGGACCCCTCCCCACCCAGCCCCCAGCCTTCCTCCCACAGGCCCCGCCGACAGAGACACCGTCCCTGCGGCTCCTCGGGCCTGGCTCGGTTGCAGGAAGACGCGCACACAGGTGATGGAGTCGGAGCCCCGCAGACGGACCCCCAGGCAGGCCAGGGTGGGGGTGGGGGCCGCTGGACAGCCGGATGGCCGGACAGACTCACCGGGGTGGGCCGGGGACGCCAGGCAGCCGGAGGCGGAGACGGCCGCGAGGAGGATGAGGGCGCCGGGGGCAGGCATCTTGTCGAGGATGGAAGGGAGGTGGAGGTGGTGGCGGCTGGGGAGGAGGGGGGGGCGGGCCCTCAGCCCCCAGCCATGGGGACCCGCACGACCCTGGCCTCCTCCCGGCCCAGGAGAGGGGCAGGAGACGCAGGACAGGGGGAGGGAGGGGCTGCTTAGTGGCTCAGGTACCCCCCTCCCCCTCTTTGAAGGGACAGACAGATGAAGGGATGGAGAGGCAGACAGAGGAGAGGAGCTGGGGAACCGGGGTTGCTGGGGTGGGGGGGGGGGGGGC